ATATGATATGAATAGTTCAATTATCATTCCGACCAAATAAAGTTCTTAATGCTCAGTAATTGCGGTTGAGTAATTGTTCATCCCACAAAATTGTGCATATGCAGCGAAAAGTTATTTATACAACTATTATTGATCCCTTCATCACCTGTTGGGTGGTACGGTAAATTTTGGGCCATGCTCATGTGGGTAGACTTTTGTATGAATCAAGCGCTGGAAGCACTTGTAATCTGTACTAAATTTTGAGAAAAGAAATGATCGTTATGAGCGCTTATTACATTAATGATTATGTTATAACATTAAGAGTACAATGGTTATTTGCTCAAATTTACTTCTGGGTCTTTTTAAATATTGTCTATCGGAATCGTGATTCCGATACACGATGCTGGGTCAGTTCCGACTGGGCTTTTTGTTTCATCAACCCAGTTGGCGACTGGCTGGTTACTCCGACGAGAACACACGGTTCTTGGTGCTGAACTGTTTGCAATACGCAAAGTCATGCAGCTGGCTACTGAAGATGAATATCTAAAGGGAATGCCTATTATAATCGGCAACAGGCCATGGGCCTATTGCTTCAACGCCGACAATTCTATTCTTTCTATTCTATTCTATAATACTGACAGACTCAAGGTCTGCTCTGTAGCTTTTATCCCACCTATCCGCGGGCACTCATATTGCACAAGTGTCTTTGAAATACAAAGGTTGATGCTGGTCAAGAGACTTGACGGGGTTCTGTTTTGCTGGATCAGAGGCCACAGTGGTATCCGCTGAAACAAAGTTGCAGTTAGGGTTGCATATCTGGCACATTCAAATAAACGTTCAGCTGGATCTGTGCCGCTCGTTGAGGAATGGATGTGCTCTGTAAAGGCCCTCTCTGCTCAAAAATGGTTACGCCAATGGTGAGCTGACATTCTGGAAATGAGCAAGGGGACCTTAAGACGAAGTTTGGAACCTGAGATTGCCCATGTGGACCATGGGCTGCGGCCACGTTCTGTTGAATGGATGCGCTGTGTCAAGCCTGCGCCTGGGGGACGCCGGAAAATTTCAATTGTGCTAAGGCTGGGAGGTCAGCTACCTACCTGCATACCCAATATCAAATATCTTGATATTTGATGGAACCTTAATGATGGCATAAAGAAATTCACCGTCAAATAAACTTGAGTTAATAATCTTATTTAGCTTTAGTAAATTTTAACTTTCATTTAAACAAAACACCTACTTGATATAGCAATGTATATATTCTCCATCCGCCCTTCTAATCAACTTTTCAAAGAAAACGGAGCGTCTTTGAGAAGTGAAGACAAACCTTCCAGGTCCAACCGTTACAGCTTCTCTGGATGTCACGGTGTTCCTGTGGGACTCAATCCTGCGTTGATCAGAACTGAACATCATGGGTCCCACTCTACTAGTTTGTTGTAACGTCTTCATCTGTGGAGCACTAATGGAGACTTAAAACATACTACGCCAGTCGCCCCGAGGACTGTCGACTTCCACCCGCTCCACCAGTGGCAGGGTGGCCCAGTGTTTACAGTTCAGTACCAGGATTGGCGCAGAGAGGCACGGGTTCGATCCCAGCTCTGTGCGCCAGTTTCTGGTCAGAATCGGCAGGGAGGCCGGGCGGTTAAGCACAGCAGAATTGTAGCAGTGAGTTCGAGATCGCAAAATGCTGTGAATGTTCTGTGATGTGAAGAATCGGCGACAGGCCTACGGCCTAATAAACGCTGAAACCGCTATTATGTGACCTATCTTCAGCCAGAGCTGATCCTCGATCCATACACCAGAAGTCCGGCAGGAAGTACGTGCATTTCTAAGTCTGTGAAGGTGGTTTGTGAGGATCCTAAGCCGCTTCACGGCCTGTTCTTATAATAGAGACGATGTGCCTTATTTAGTTCAATTAAAGCAAAATGATAAGCGATAATGAAAATGATAATTGATTAATGGGTGCTTTGCCCCCGTGACACGCGTGGGGCCCGTTGCCCCACTAGGCATAATTTCAATTTATATCGTGTCAACATTTTATTTTAAAATTAAACTGATTGCAACAATTTTAATTGATTAATGGATTGAAAAAGGGTCATAGTTTCACTTGCGCTAGAAAAGCTCCCTATGTTCTATGACTATAATTGATTGATTTTTCTGATTTATATTACATACACCAGTGACGTGATGACGTGACTCTGACGTCATCCGTCATCGGGGCTTCGTTGAACGAATTTTGGCGGGACTTGCACGTTCTCCAACGGCTTTATTTGTTCCCTCTCAAGACCCAGAAAAATAGGCCAAATATCCTCGAATAAAATTATTTATTTTCTGGTCTCGAATTTTTTATATCCAGCCATAAGTTTTTCGTTACCCAAATCCTTCAAATCGAATTAAAAAAAATAAAAATCAGTTTCTGCGGATGCGGAGGGATTGTTAGAAGTTGACTGACACACCAAATTATAGTTTTCTCTGAGCGTCTGAGGTTTCAGAAAATCTCATTGTGCGAAAAATTGTAGTAACAAAACATCGATGAGCGAAGGTTTCAGTCAAGTTACTATTTGAAAAATTTCCGGGGCAATGCTGTTTCCAACGCCAACCTGCAGTGCTACCGGCTGACGGCTGCCGATGATTTGGCTTGTCTTTGTTGACAAGTCAGCCTTCAAGTCTCAACAGATAGGTTCACTAAATATTCAAAATATAATTCACTAAATACCTAAAATGTTTTATAAGAATACAAATTTTAGAGTCCAATTCCAGATTACCACATTATAATTATATTAAATTGCATCAGTGATTATAGTACCTAACTACCTATTGTTAAAGAAAAATGGTTTGGTTGTTGTTTTTTAGATAGACCGTATGATCCGTATCCAGCCTGGACCAGTCATTCAGGTCAGGCTAAAATTCTAGGAAAGAACATAAAGCTTCTGTCATTTTTAGGTATATTTATAATTCATGTCCATCACCAGACTGTGATTGGTTGATGGTTCTGGTTGGGGCCTGGTGGCTAGTATGGAATATATCTACTTGGCGAGCCGCGACTGAATTTTTCGAGCCGTGGTTTTATGGATTTGCCAGCCGTGATTCCATTTCTACGTGCCTGGCTTCCTTGTAGTGCATCAGCATCGTCACGGCTTGGGCAGCAAACAAGACTGCAGGACCAATTGATGAAGCCTCCAGATGTCATTGAAACAAAATTAAACCTGCTGAGTCCAGGTGTAACAAGAGGTCACTGCGCAACTACTTCCTCACCTACAAACTGGAAACAACAACAACAACAAGATTGGAGACAAGACGTATGGTGTGTGCGCTAGCTTCGAAGCTCGAACTACAACAAAGGAAAGGCAACTGACTTGCTCTTCTCCTCTTTAAAGTTGTAATTATTTCTCAGCATTATTTATACTTATCATCTATCAAAACTAGTATTATTATTTTTTTTTTGTAATCCGTTGAAGGGCGGTTGCCTTGTGTCAGCCTTGTGGTGGACAGTTGGACACGATGGGCAAAAACAAACGGAGAAAGCAAAGTGGAGCTTCTAATCATTCAGACTCAGATGGAAACACTTGTTCCAGCCATGAAAATTTGTTACTTTCCTCTTTCGATCCAAATGGAATTCCATCTCTTTCACAACCACCTTCCTTAGCCATAGGCTTAACTCAGAGCTCAGGCTCACTGCCACTGTGGAGTGTGGACAAATTGTCAGAATATTCAAATATCTTTGGTGACTAATTATCAGCTAATTTTATGCCTTCAGAAGATATTGGCAACAAATTTACCTTAAAATAATTCGTAACAAATGTATAAATTCACCTTCGGCGACTCCGCTACCGGAGACTCCTCTCAGTCTCAGCTGACCCGCCCGGTAGGTAGAAATGACGCGACGCGCTATCACAGGCTCACAGCCACGAAAGAATGAGCCTTCTACTAGTACAAAGAACTAGTTAGACTTCAGGGTTTCACCATGTCATAGCGATACCTAATTTCCTCAGATGACAATTGACGAGACAAACGAAATGCGAGTAGGAATGTTCATTGAGTTTACGGCAGTATATAGAAGGTTTTAAGCCAGCAAAAGTGAAAAACATTTACCCTTGTATTGGTATATCGTCATACAATTGAACCAAATGCAGCATAAATGTAACGCCGGTTGTCCACGTTTGGACAGAAGGTGTTAATTATTTATAACTTGATGCAAGGATTTAAACGTCATTTGATCAATGAAAGCGGTGAACAAATTGTACCCTACTCTGTTATTTCTACAAGCCCTGTCTCTTTCTATGTCATATTCTAGAAATTTCGTTGATAGCACTGCATCCAGCGGACCAGCCGGTGTAATTTCTGCACTTGACTGAGTTGCAGTACAGACTGCAGCGTATTGAACCAAAGCAAACTTCGAAATTTTCGTCAGTTATGTTTAGACAGCCAGACGTGTTGGATGTGGATCGTGTGTTTCAAGCGCAGCTGACGAATTTAATGTTCAGCACTTAATATTTTGGAGCTTCCTTCATGTTGACTGATCGTAAACGGCTAATTGGCCACCTCGAAGGTGGGTTCCACGTTTAATTATTTTCGTGTGTGTCGAAGCGGCTTGGATTCTTACCGACTGCCATTGCCCGTTGGGCGTTTGCCTGTTGCCGCCTCCCAGGCTCCCAGCCCTTTGAATTATGATTCCTAATTCATTATACATTATTTAGTTTAATTTATTATTAAAAGGTAATTTTAAGGAAAGGAGGTTAGGCAAAATTTTGATTTGTTTGGCTGCGAAAAAATTGCCTTTTTTCATTTAAATATTAAGTAGGTATTAACTAAGTGACTTGAAAGTTACTAATAATTCGTAAACCTGCCTATTGCCAATAACTGGTTCTATGACTTATTTCCTGAATCTCAAGATGCGTTCATAACTAAACAAGTAATGAAGTGAATCAAATGATAGGGTATGAGGTATGAAATACCGCATTTGAGGTATGAAATACCGCATTGGCCTCCTATTAGCAATAATATATGAAGTTATGCTTATGCTTCTGCCCTGCAGCCACACTCTGAAGACCGCGTCTCTTCCTTGCAGCAACCTGAAGACCATGCTTCTGCCATGCAGCCACACTCCGAAGACCGCACTTCTTCCTTGCAGCCAAATTCGGGTGATGAACGTGACTTCTCTTTCCACCTGAACAACGCAGAACCTATTGACCTCTTCCACCCTAATTCAGCAGAACTCTCCGATTCCTTTCAGCCTAATTCACTGGAACCTGTCTCTCTCGACGAGTCCATTTCTAAAAAATGTGCAAACGATCCTGAAACAACCATGAACATACTTGAGTCACCAGTACCCCGCACTAATGTTTCTACTCCTCTTCAAAATACTGTCTGGCAAAAGTCAATTGATAAGTTTCTCAGCAATCACCAACAAGATAACCCGGAGCCCACTTCACCTAAATGGACCCTTGAAAAAATTGGTGAAACCATTTTGGAAGTTAAAAACACACTTTCAAAAATAACATCAAAAAGTGACTGTCAACGAAGTTTGACTGTTACAGATGCAAATTTATTTTCAGCGGAAGATATAAACAGTAGCCAAAATTTAAACGAGGCTCTCTCTACTAATAAATTTGTACTCTCCAAGCAATCCAATGGGTGTTTGATACAATGCTCAACTTGCCTTGATTACGCAACTCGTGATCAAGTTGTGACCAAATCTTCTTCCACCTTCAAACTTCCTTCGAGTGGTTTCTCTGTTGGGGTGTTGGTTGCAGATGATAAAATTGAGGAATATCGTAAAGGCCACAATCAAAACTGGTACAATTTCAATAGCCGTCTCATTTCTCATTATCGGCCCAGGAAGGATTCTTTTCACTGGAAAGCCACTCACTTACATGAAACAAATGAGAAATCCTCGACTCGTTCGGCTGCCGTGACTGAAACGTTATGTAGAGCTGCTATCCAAACTCTAAAAATGAAGGGGGCAGCGATTCATTTTGAATCGCAAATCGCCATGTTAAAAGCCTGTGATGTGGATGTTGGAGACATCGGTCATTCACGGTTAGTCAAGGAAAATAATTATATATCAATTTAATATGTGTTGAAAAATTTTTTATTTGACGGATTGGCAAACATGTTATTAAAATAGTTAGATAATCAAGTGTTTCATATTTCCACAGGAAGAGATTTCCGGAAATTCTTCGGGCGGCGACAGTTGTGATATGCAACAGAAATCTTAAAATGTTATTAGAGCCGCTTCTCAGTACTGGACTTCCCCCTCACATTTATTTAACGGCGGACAAAGCAACTTTGAATCGTCACACAAACCAAGCCATATTGCTAGTGGTTAACTGGAATGGGTCGCGCATTGCAGTCCCAGTCGGAGCTCCCGCTGTCTATCACAATGATCATTCAAACGACTCGGATGTCGATCTGGTTGGTGGAAGTGCTAAAGAACTTGCCGATTTCTCTCTCACCAAAGATTGCCATGATTGTCTCTCACCAAATATTGCCATGATTGTCTCTCATCAAAGATTGTCATGATTGTGTCTCACCAAAAGATTGTCATGATTGCCTCTCACCAAAAGATTGTCATGATTGCCTCTCACCAAAGATTGTCATGATTGTCTCTAACCAAAGATTGCCATGTTTTTGTCTCACCAAAGATACAAAAAATGGAACTCAGTACTCACTGCAGTGAGTGACAGAGCGCATTTTCTTGCCAACAAAAACATGAAGTCACAGACGGACATACAGACGGACATGGCAAGCACAGTAGTGCATTTTTTCATAAATGAGAAAATGTGCTAAAAATCAAACAGTGAAAAGAAAACATGTCAAGACAACGTAATGACTAATGAGTATGCAAAATGATCTTACTAAAACTTTGTGCAAGCACGATTTTTGCACATGTCACTGAAAGTTCTATCAAACGCTTATGGCTACATCGATCTGTCTGATTTTTTGTGGAGAGATGCAGAAAAACATAGGGAACAAATCCTGACCTTCCAAAATTTGTTAACTCTATTACTGTTTGAGTTACAGCCATTCAAAGTTGGGCATCGTTTTTTTGGGACACCCTGTATAAATGAATTTATTTCACCTCACAATTTTCTTGTTTTCAATTGCTACCTGAATGTATTGTTTTTTATATTACAGCCTCAAAAGTATGATCAAATTGAAATTTGTTGATGTATAAATGATTCTTAGCTACGAATAAAGTTACAAGACAATAAATTAAGTTATAAATTTCCTAACATTTCCATTTCCAATAAGCACCACTCGTAAATTTTTTTTTCTTGTAGCATCAATGAATGTTCATTTATATAAACACTTGACAGAAATGTATTGCGTCTTTACTTGATCTAACAAATGTCCAGGCATCATTTGACCTTCATCTAATTCATCATTTTGCAGGTTCACAAGCTCCAACTTCATGCAGTGACAGAGTATTGAAAAAGGCCTCTGAATGCTAGTTTTAATAGTGATTGGTTTTTGCATAGTGGAGGAGTGATTTTAAGGTGGTATGGGGTTTGAAAACTCATTGCACTGGCGTGTTTGTGATGATAACTTGTGGTCGAGTACATCAATATAGATTGCAATGGAGTGTAATACATCAATTGATATCTCACAATGATATAGTACACGTATGTTTTCATTAATTGACATAACGAATCAGTTGAAAATAAAATTCTTTCTATTTTTGAATAGTCATGGTGTAATGTATGTTACACATTTGTTGACAGCTGTACCTACTGGACTTTTTTGAGCCACTTGTCCGTGTGATGAATGCTGTTCAGAATTTCACAGTTCCTATCTGGAAAGTGATCAAGTACATCAACAGTCTAGTAGATCATTGACAATCTATTTCAGTAGAAACATGCGAAGGACTACTACGCCTCTTGCAACATCAGGCAGAATTGGAAGAGTTGAAGTTCAACGAGATTGAGCTTCTTCCTGGGTACCTGGTTGTACACCATGAGAAAGGAAAAGTTGTGTGGGAAGCTCAAGATCTCTCTGACTGTCGCACATTGGCCAAAAATTTCAAGGATGACATTTTGAAGAGCATGAAGAATTGCATCAACAACTGCATCCACAGTGCATGCACAGCTCTTGAAAAATGCCTTGACCTACATAGATTTTTTTCAATGATATGTGGTGAACAGTGCAGAAAAAAGCACCTTATGATAAGGTAACCCTTGCTCAGCATGGCATGGACTTGTTCTGTGATTTTGTTGACTTTGTGAGTAATCTTCCCCATGTGAGGGAATCTGATTCTCTTACAATTGATCCCGTACTCAGTCATTCACTTTACGGTAAACTGAAGGAAACTCTGGTTTTGACCATATAGGGAGAATTGCTGCACGTTGTTGGAACCAAATTTTTTCATCTTCTTTCTGGCAAGTCCCTGAGTACATTGGGTGATGATTTTTTTTTGTGGAGAAATTCTCCAAAGAAAAGATGAACGATTTTTCAATCTTCAGAGTAATTTTAAAATTTCAACCATAGACGAGTTGATAATTGTGACTTTCGATGAAGGCAAACTTTACTCCCTGATTTTCAAAAACTCTAAGCTCTACTCTGCTCTTGGTAAAGAGCTCTGCAAGGTCCTTGATGCGGCACTGAGTTTGGGGGGCAGTGAGGCCATTGCAGAGTCGTATAATGCTGTAATGAAGTCTCAACGCCAAGACACAACGCCAAGACAGAGGCCAAGAAAATGAAACCTTAGACATGCAGACTCTCGTTGACTGGCCACTACCATATGTTATACAGTGCCCGAAAACTATTGCAGATATAGCTCAAATGTACAGAAGTGGGGATGCCCGTGCTAATGTTGGCAAACACCGCTCCCAATCTTTTATGATGAATGTAGGCGAGCGTCTCAAAAATATGTGCACAGTAGAGTTCTAGACAGGCTGATGGCAGCGAAAAAATGTTTGCCGTATTTTGATTAGTCATATGTAGTTCGAAAATGTGCCTTTCATGAAAATTCACTTCTGCAATATAGTTTCCTCATTGAAAAAGATGCGTAATCAGTTCATGTATTCTTCCATATTGAATGAAAAGGTTTTGTTTAACAATATGAATTTAGTTAGTTGGATGAATGAATGGAGTCAAGCAGTATTCAAATGCAGATAAATCAACTTGGACAGTGGAGCTTATAGCATCAGTGCGAAATTTCACTGCTTGTATAAGTTATATTTGCATGTTCCTTCCATTGTTCCAACCCACAAATCCTTGTCAGGTCTGAATTTCTTTGTTATAAAATGGAATTGACCTAATTCTATTTTGAATTTCTATATTTTAAAATGGAATTCCCAATTAAATTGGATACAAATATCTTACCGAGCTCATTTATCATGGCAGTTTTCCAGGCGCGCCATAACCTGTGCAATTATCGAGCCCGATCATAGTAGACTCCCAGCAGGCGTCTGACATTGAAACAATGTTGATTGTTGGTTGATTTTAGGTTGAAATGTTGAACAATCAAAATTAAATGTCATATCAACGTTGAAATCTGACCAACAATAGAAGGGTCGTAAAACAACCTTATTTCAATGTAGAAACAACGTTGTTATTGGTTACGTTGAATGTTTATTTATTTTTAAATGTCCAATCAACGTCAAAATCTGACCAAAACTAGAATGGACGTAAAACAACCTTATTTCAACATTGAAACATTGATATTGGAACGTTGAATGTTTATTTTTAAACACCCAATCAACGTCAAAATCTGACCAAAACTAGAACGGACGTCAAACAACCTTATTTCAACGTTGAAACAACGTCAATATTGGTATGTTCAATGTTTATTCATTTTTAAACATCCGATCAATGTCAAAATCTGACCAAAACTAGAACAGACGTAAAACAACCTTATTTCAATGTTGAAACAACGTCGATATTGGTACATCAAATGTTTATCTATCTTTAAACGTCCGATCAATGTCAAAATCTGACCAACACTAGAACAGGTGTAAAAACTTATTTCAACATTGAAACAACATCAATATTGATATGTTGAATGTTTATTTATTTTTAAACGTCCAATCAACGTCAAAATCTGACCAAAACTAGAACAGATGTAAAACTACATTATTTCAACGTTGAAACAATGTCGATATTGGTATGTTGAATGCTTATTTATTTTTAAACATCTGATCAACGTCGAAATCTGACCTAAACTAGAACAGACGTAAAACAATCTTATTTCAACGTTGAAACGTCAATATTAGTATGTTGAATGTTTATTATTAAACGTCCGATCAACGTTGAAATCTGACCAAAGCTAGAACGGACGTAAAACAACCTTATTTTAACGGTGAAAAGTGGTCAATATTGGTATGTTGAATGTTGAGCTACTTACCAGCCTGGAACTAATGTTATCACACCAACATTCAATGAAATACATATAGATAAGTGAATGATTAGTGACCAGAGAATGCATTTCAATTTTCAAGGAGTCAGACTATTCTTTGGCTTATTTTATTGCCCATGCACGCGAGCTACCGTGGTCAAGGTTGCTAAGGCATTGCGCGGTCTTCAGTGATCCCGGGTTCGAATCCTGCTACGGATGAAAAACAGGTAGGTTCTTCAACATTGATTAAACTAAAGAATAAAGTACTTAAAAACGAGCAGATTTATGATTAAAGCGAAAAGCACGCAACACTTAAATTTTGGAAATTTGATGGTGAACGTTCAGCCCAACCCACGTTTTTTTTGGGTGAACCATAATTTATTTTCTACTTTTTAGTCCACAAGAAAAACGTGGTTTTTTATAAAGTTTTTTCAAGTATTTTAATTTCTACTTTTTAGTCCACAAGAAAAACTATCAAGACTTGATTAAGTATGACTTGACGTACGTATTGATGATACGCAGCGTCAGCGCCTGCTCGTCTATAACGTGAGCGCCCGCACGTCATACTATATATATACCTACTTTACTCAAATAAACTAATTTTGGTCTCTAATTACTAGTTTTTATGATTATATCTGAAATTGTTAGGCAAAAATAGCCTGCATGCCGAATTTCAGATCTCTAGAACAATCAGAAGTGGGCTAATTTTCGTTGTCAATGTTAACAACAAACCAACAAACGTGAAGCTAAGCTAAGAAAAACGTGTTAATTTGATGTTGCAGCAATGTTGTAGTAGTAACGTTGATTCAACATTGACTTGTTATCAGTATGGAATTCTGTATAGGTAATATATTATCATGTTAACATAATAAAATGTAGGTATTGAAAACTTACCACCTTACACCTTCCACCAAAGTGACAATTGATACTCATTACACTGAGCTCGTCAGATCAGAAACTGCGGACACCCGGACAGCCGCGCTTCCTTTATCTCGCTTGCGTGTGGTTCGAAAACCGCTAAAAAGTCAGCGACTCTTCCCAAATGCAAACACTAGTCGTGTATCCGCATCGACAAATTTTTTGTAATGAATATGTTCCAAAATAAAATAAAAATTACGTCATCTTTCGCAGAAAGTTCTCACGATTTCATCGATACCCACAAAGTTCTCGAATCCACACAAAATGATGGGATAAACTGCTAAACTTTCACGGCGTATGGCAACATTGTGTTGACTGTTGACATTAGACAAGATGGTGTCAGACACCGTTTTTTGGTCTTGTGAAGTTCGATTTCACAATAATTAGACTTGATCCACATTCCATACTGACATTTAAATGATGGAAATTTGTTTCAAATTATTAATACCAATTAATACGCGTTAAGACATACATTTTTCATGTTTTTTGCCTATTTTGTCAATATTGTCTATATAATTAACTTCACCTCAGATTCTAAATGATTTCGTCTGCCATCCCGCGTTTTCGAACGTTTTGTGTCTTTTAGAAAATTTTCGATTGTTTAACATGGGAAACTATTTCATTATATAAAACATAGAGCACGTACCATATAGTGCATTAATAATACAAATTAATTTAATAAAAATTAATTTTTAATTTAAAAAATATAATCAGATTTTTAATTCAACATTTTTCTAATNAATATAAATTAAAGACTGCCACTCAATATATTTAAATATATGAAAAAATCAAAAAAATCAAATAAATAAAAAAAATCATGATTTTTTTATAAAAAAATCAAGTGATTTAATCATGCGATTTAATCATTTTGATTTAATCATTGCCAACCCTGATTGAAAAACTGGTCTAGGTGTAGCGAAAATAATATATGAACTGTAAATTTTAGAATTCCATCCTGCTTGTAATGTCAGTACGACGTTTCATGAGAGATGTTGCTTCAATTTTCATTCTAAACCTCTTTTCACCGCGATCTCAACGTCATAATAGGTAGTTGTTTCAACATTAATTCAACCATAGAATTCAAAATTTCAGCAATGTCGTAGTAGCAACATTGATTCAATGTTGCATTGTAACATCAGTATGACATTTAATGAAAGATTTTGCTTCAATTTTCATTCTAAACCTCCTTCTAAACAGGGCAGGAAAAGTCCTATTTTTGTCTGAAATATCGCGGCTCTAATATCATATAATTTCAGTACGTATGGAATCTCGCGGCTCGAATGTCATAAATTTTTGTTTGATTGAAAAATCATGGTTTGCACTTTGCAAACATGTCACTTCATAAAATTTTCAACTTCCGCAATCCGCATTGCTTTACCGCTGTCTCTTATACACATCTAGATGTGTATAAGAGACAGCCCTAGGAGTATGGCGCAGGGTGCACTTTTTTACCAGAATAGTATATCATTGGTGCACCATGCAGATTGATAAAATGACCTGTAAGATTGCTATATGCGACCTGTATCAGTGTATGATTGAAATAGCCTAATTATCATGTTCGTGTTAAAATCATAAAACTGGCAAGCTTTCAGATATAGGCCTAATAAAGAGGAAATGCATGTACATATAATGAGTAAAAAATATACCTTTCAAACTAAGAAGGACGCATCGGCATCTTACCTAATTGTTTGGAATTAATAACAATGCGATCATCTATAGTCACTACAAACTCCCGTGGTATTTGTAAAACGCTCCACAGTAACAAAGCAACAACACGACGTACCCTCTACGACTGCGCTAAAAGCAGTGTTGATTCTAGTCAACAACATATTCCCGTTAATATTTAATAGGGATGTCTTTTCCGCTAAAACTTAAAAAATATGTTACGAATATCAATTTGGCTGGTTATCATTTCGCAAAACTTCAATGTTATTATCTTTTATTTTATCAAATTTTTGAACCTCCATTTCAGAAATAGTCGAGTGTGTAAATACTTATAATAATGGAAAAGAAAGCCTGTTGTAGAGGTGTCATAAACATGGTTCTCAAAACGGCCCATTTCAGGTTCATATAAAAAAAACAAAGCTCTTTTGCAAATAAAATATAATATGACAAATGTGAATTTCATTTGCGTTTTTGGGAATATCTGTTAGTCGTACAGCAGCTTCTGAATTATCTCCTAATAGCAGAGCTGGGCAGCGCTACTTTGAAATGTAGCGCCGCTACCGCTGCCGCTACATGCTCTAAAATAAATGTAGCGGGCGCTACCGCTACCGCTACACCCACTAGATTGTAGCGAGCACTACCGCTGCAGTAAAATGTAGCGCCGCTACATTAGCCGCTACGCTGGCCAAAGCTATTGGAAATCTCTAAATATTTATTGTTCTGCTATTGGGATTTACTCATAAACATTTAATGATAATAAAACACTTTCAAAACATATCAATGCAACTTTATTGCAATTAACCTAACCGAACTAGCACACGAGTGATTTAGTGACAGAGTTATTGTCACGTTAACTTGAACGTGTTAAAATAAAATGTAAACGCTGAATGTATTCTGACACGGCAGACCGTTACAAATATTCAAGCAAGGCAGCCGCTGCTGGCTCACTCCTCACCCGACTCAGTCGTGCGGAGTCGTCAGTCGTGCCGCGCACTCGTGGCGTGTGGTTCTCCCATTAAGCGTTCTCGTGTTTTTCATTTGTCTGGATTATGTGTTTATTCTGATTATCTCGATTATTGTCATGAATTGTGTCATTAGTAGAGTTATCAGTGACGAATGTGACAATGCTGTAGCACAACTTGTTAGCAATCAATTTAAAGATGTGTTGAATGAGAAGCTCGTTCCGACGCCAGCGTCGGACTGCCTTCTTAGTGAATTTGTCTGAAGTCGAATGGAAAATGTCATTGTACTGTTCTAAATATCATAGTGCCTGCAAATGACGAGAGCTTGTGTTGTTTGTTCGAATAAATAATGTGACGAAAGTCTGCTCGAGAAGCAGTCGGTAAGCAAATTTGAGTGAGATGTTTCCCCGCCAAAGACGGGCGACCCACGCCTGAGTTTCAAAACCGATGCCTGCCTAAACCTTGTGTGATTGGTCGTTGGTGCCTCGCTCGTTGAGAATGGCGTGCTCAGTTTCTTGCTCAAGCCAACCTGTGGCCAGCATAGCACTCGATATTACTCGATATTTGATATTATTAGCAATAGAAATATTTAAGCAACTGATTGCTTCAAGAACGTTTGATTTGAATTAGCCTAAGCTGCTAGTTACCACGGTGTTTATTACCTTTGTGCCTTTGAGTTCAGCTTAGTCTGCTAATATCGGCATTGAGAATGTTCTGGCTCACGTTTATTGTTATCATGACTTGTCGTACATGTGTTCATATTTAGATTCAAGTGACGAGAATTTTGGAACCGATGTGCAGGGATTTATTCGATGTCCTCGTATCTGAGTTCAGAACGCAATTCATAAATCCTCAAATTAAAAAATAGAGAATCGCGAAATGCTCATCCTACGAGCTCGTTTAACATTGAAGTAGTTTCGATTTGTCGTTATTTCATGCTGTAGTACATTTCGAATATTACGTTTCATGTAATTTATTACTTACACTTTGATCATTTAGACGCTTTTAAAATTAAAAAAATTATTCAATATTTCTTATAGAAATTCTAACGTGCAGGTTTTCATCGTGGTAAGAGGATAGCTGGATAGTAAAGAAAGAAACGAAGATCGTCTTTTTTGATCCTTACCGTCCTCGGACCTGCGATTAGGCAGCTACGGTACGGTACGCCACAAAACTGGTAAATCTACCGGAGCCGCGACAGTTATTCCCAAAGTTGGGAATAACCCTGTCAGAACTCTGGTTCAGAGGATCTGGTAATCGATTGAAGAAGAACCTGAGGGGTTTTGGTTCGTTTATAAATTGTCCGAATAACATATTAAATATTCATTGGCCAGGGAAGGATAATAACAAGACGTGTATCTAAGCGTAAGTATTAAAGATAGGTTCACGGGATACACTAGATAGAAGTTACGGGAGAAGTTAGTTAGCTATTTAAGACTCATGAGTCAGTCAGTTGTAAACTTGTAGGAGAGACCTCCGAGCGTCCACACCTTAGTCCTACGCTCCTGGATAAGCTTCTCTATCGAGCAGGCCGATTCTATCCCTCTGAGATTGTATCCTCATAGTGCCTATTGTATATTTTAATAGCGAGTAAATTGTTCTGTAATAACTAGACTTTCACTCCTGCTATAGCCAACACAATAAAAGATCCCGAACCTTCAGGTCTTAATCAAAGATAAACAATAACCAAGCCACCCAGAAACGTGGACTTGGACAGTGGTTTGGACAGTGGACTTGGACATTGTCCAAGTCCAAGTTTCTGGGTGGCTTGGTTATTGTTTATTTTTGATTAAGGCCTGAAGGTTCGGGATCTTTTGTTGTTGGCTATAGCAGGAGTGAAAGTCTAGTTATTACAGAACAGTTTACTCGCTATTAAAATATATAATAGGCACTATGAGGATACAATCTCAGAGGGATAGAATCGGCCTGCTCGATAGAGAAGCTTATCGAGGAGCGTAGGACTAGGGTGTGGACGCTCGGAGGTCTCTCCTAATAACTACTAGTTATTCCCAACAAGAGTGAGAACTAGCACAAGAGTGTCCCTCATAAATGTCAAAGTTATGAGGGACACTGTTCGGGTGTGCCGCTGTCAAAGTTGGAATAACTCTGTCAGAACTCTGGTTCTGTCTCTGTCAGATCTAGAGGATCTGGTAATCGATTGAAGAAGAACCTGAGGGGTTTTGGCTCATTTATAAATTGTCCGAATAACATATTAAATATATAAAATATTAAATAACATATTAAATATTCAATATTTCTACCCCAGATACGCACCAATCCCGATACCACCCATCTGCCACTATCTGCAACGGCATCATCCCACTGAATAAAACCCCCAAAATCCTAGGCGTCACCCGGGATACACACTTCACTTTCTCCCCTCATGCAAGAGCCGTAGCCACGAAAGCGACGGACTCTCTCCGCATCTTAAAAGCCCTTGCTGGCACCAACTGGGGCTTCTCCAAGGAGGACATAATTGCGACCTACCGAACCATCACGCGCCCAATCCTCAACTACGCGACCCTCATCTGGAACCCTGTTGCCTCTCGTACAGCCGTTTCCAGCCTGCAGATAATACAAAACGCTGCTCTGAGACTAGCCACCGGCTGCCTCAAAATGGCCCCGATCTCTCATCTACACCAGGAGACCGGCGTCCTCCCTTTGTCCGCGCACCTGGACCCGGCTTGCGCCCAGTTCCTCGCGAGCGCCCTTCAGCCCTCCCATGCCTCATTTCGCATGGCCTCTGCCCCTCTCGGGGACCGAAAGCCTCCATACAGTCGAGGTTTGGCCATCTTGTCACACCACTCTTGGCAAATGGTATCTTGCCTGCCGGGACATACGGAGAGGCCAAGCGGTCTCTACGCAGGGAGATCGCCTTCCACGTTGCGGCGACTGAAGCTGTAAACGCCGTCCTCGCTGCTCCGCCACCGCCGATCGCATCGGTGGAGGCCTCACTCCCACGCCCCTACAACTCGGCGCTATCCCAGGTACGCTCGGGATACTGCAGCTCCCTGGCGTCTACTCCGCTAGGATCGGACGCTTCCCTAGCTCTGCCTGCCCGGAATGCGGGGATCCCCTTAAGTCGGTTCAGCACCTCTTTGCCTGCCCCACCGTCNTCATGGAAAAGTTCTTTGCTGTCACATTAAGAGACAAATCTTTAACGAACTAGTACTTTTTATAATTTTAATTGTTGAGTGCAAGCTGCCCTGCAGATATGCAACATTTCCAATTGAAGTGATTACTTTATAGAAAATTAGAAACTTTTTATACCTTTACCTATACGTGTTTAAGCCTATAAGAAGTTTATTTTTTTGCCTCAAATAATGTTGTATTGAAAACAGGGTTGGTGATTTTTTTGATTTTTTTAAAAAAATCAAAAAATCAAAAATCAATGATTTTTTTGATTTCTTCATGATTTTTTTTATTTATTTGATTTTTTTGATTTTTTCAACTTTTTTGTCTTTTTCGAAGTGTTATTTTTTATGTTGCAATTAGCCTACTAGCAATAACAGTATATGGATCATAATTGTTTGGAGTCACTCTCTAGTAGAGCGCCTAATTGATCTTTATAGAGAACACGAATGCCTATGTTTTGTACTCAAAGGAGTACAAAAATCGAAATGAAATGATGTAAGTTACTTTTACATGACGTGTTTAGTTTATGTGATTGTAGCAACTCCTGACAATTTATGCATTACCGTTTAGCGATTTCAAATGATGATATAATATCGGTACGAATATTGGAACTTTTTATTTAGGAATAGACTATATTTTTTATAAACTGTATTTTTTAGAGTGTGCTAGTTCTCTAATTATAATGCCTATGCTAAATTCTCATTTACAACTAGCATAGTGCGAAGAATGACGGACCGCAGCACACCCGAGAACAATGGCCCACAGCTCAAATTCGGTTACATCCATCTTCATTGACGTCTAGGTGGCAACTGGTGTTCAAAGCGCGCGCTCCCAAACTACCGAGTACAAAAGTAGTGTGAACGGTTGTGCGCGGTGAGGCACTGCAGCAAACGACTCAAAGCGCATGTCGTTGCCACTAGTGTAAACGGGCCTTAAGAAGTGATGGTATGGGTTATAACTTATAAAGCATTGGAGGACAACGTATTGACCGTTAACTATGTGGAGTAGCAGTTTGTGAGCCGAAGCAGTGTTGGTTTATAGTTCGTGTGGTGAGATAGGTCAATTGACTGCAACTGCTTAGGTGCCAGGATGACAATATCTATAGCATTTAGATGGTTGATGTTGGCTCCAGGGCTGATTTGAGCGTTAATTTGCTGGTCTACGGCTGCGCACCCGTGGAGGCAGCGGCATTCCTGGCCACCCTCCCTGCCTTCGCCCACCTCCCCCCTCTTCCGGTGCCTGCCCCCCGCCCACCATACAACAGTACGGGTTAGATACAGTAAATAAAAGTTACAGTTATTTTTATGTTTTGCCTTCCCTACATGGATGTCCTCTTCAATCTACCAATCTCAAAAATTATCCACGTATATACATATAAAAAATCAGTCTTTTATTTGTATATATAGGGTGACCAAATAAAGTTGATAAAAGTAAAGGCTTATAACTCGAAAAGTATAAAACGTAGAGAGATGAAATATAAACTACATGAAAGAGTAAAACTTCAAATTTTATTTGATATCCATGTCACCAAAGTTTTCTATATATTTCATATTTAAAACTCATTATTTTTTAAGATCAAGATTCCCCCACAATGCAGTTAATTCTGAGAAACTAGTTTTCATTGTCGAACAATTTTACCTGAAAACTTCACCAACAAAATAAAGAGAGGTTATTCCACCAAATACAGACAAGAAGTTAGTCTCAACACAATCAAGAAGTAGATACGTCAGTGGAAAGATAAAGTAACGATCCTGAATCAAAATAAATGTCATTATGGACGGCAATGAACTGGAAGATCAGAAGAAAACATTGCCAAGATTGAAGAAAGAATTAATGAATCGCCTTTGGATTTCTTCCTATATGAAGTTACGTGAAAGAAAAAGTATTCAGTACAAGACCAAGCAGCATTGACAATCTGAAGATAGCAGTTCGTAAAGCTCTCGCACTTATTAACCAGGATACCTTGTCTGCAGTAACCGTAAATTTTGAAAAACGTATTAAGCTGCGTATTCAACAGCAAGGTAATTTTGAACATTGATTGTAATCTGAATAAAGCATGAAGTTATACTCTTTGATGTGTTTTTTAATGTTTCTACGTTTAATACTTTTCGAATTATAAGCATCTATACCTTTAGCAAATTTTTTGGGGGTCACCCTGTATATGTGGATTATTTTTGAGATTGGTAGATTAAAGTAGACATCCATGTAGGGAAGGTGAAACATAAAAATAACTGTGTAAAAATAACTGTAAGCAAACTGAAACACGAAAAAATACCTGTAAGTGGTAACTGGTAACAACTTAACAAGTACCTAACAACTAACATATTGGCACTATTGTCAGAGTGTGGTTTTGACCATTTTACCGCGATCTTTTTTGTAGTTTTTTTTTGTGTTTTTTATTTTGTGTGTGTCTTGTTTGTTTTTTTATATTATTTTGTATTCTTTTGTATAATCTCAAGGGTTTTTCTCTATAATGTGTCGGTGTCGCTCTGTCGGGGCAACCTCTTGTCTCGCCTTTTATATGTGTCGGGGGCTCTCGCTCTACTTTTTTTTATGTGTCGCGGCTCTCGCTCTCGTTACTGTGTATGTCGCTCGTTCCTGTGCACCTCTGTGAATACATAATACAAACTTGCACGGTTATGACAAGTATGAGAGAATCTCAAATAATACACCAGAAAATATGAAAGCTTATGAACTAGGAACACTGAACAGGTAAAGCGACCCCGATCGCGAACAGAGTAAAATTGGCCGGCGGAGATACAGGTCCGAAAATTGCTTATTCCAGCCAGTGTTGCCATATGGGCATTTCGCACTACATTATCTCTAAATTAATGAGCTGCGGCTACATGCACGATATCCGTCGCTAATATATTATCTTGGATTTGAAATTTTAAGAGGAAATTGTTTTCTTCTTTTTTATATATTTCAGGGCATCAGTTGGCCACCGAAATGAATACCCAGAAACTGCACAAATATGCCAATGATTACTTACACGTACTGTATATAGTTATGGTATCGGGACACAAGCTATTACAAGCTCTCCCGTTAACTTTACACAGCTCACCGTGTAAAATGAATAAAACGCACATCTGAATATTTATCTTAAGAACCCTGATGATCAATCGGCGCTTGTTGTCAAAATTACAACATTCTTTCGTATTTGATTTTCTACTATGAGTTTCGTTCATGTTAAGAGTTGGGTTCAAAAGACGATGTTACAGGACTTGATTTGGGGTGAAAATTGCCACATAACTCTGAACGAGCGAAGCTCCGAATATTTTAATTGAAAAATTTAATGTCGTCAAAATCGGGCAAATTTCTGAATCAGTAAATTGAAATAGTTATGGTTTATCTGCTTTTTATTTTGCATAACAGTATTGCGAGCAGATATATCGCGGCGTCTGGTTCACACAGACGTCGATGGCACGTTACGCATAAGTTTAATAACAAGCGAAAGATGATTAGACAATGCATTGAATATTCATGACGATTGAATAGTAACAATGGAATAATTTTTAACGATTGATTATTAATAACAATAGAATAATCTGTGAATTTTGTATTACAATTGCGTCCTTAAATTTCGTTTGAAACGAAAGTCTCAAAACATTAGGTTAGGCTAAGGTGGGCTAGGTTAAGATTGGTTAGGTTAGGTTATTTGTTATTTAAACAAGATTAAGTAGGTATTTCTTGCTTAACCTATCCTAACTTATCATAAACTAACCTAATATTTTGAAACTTTTGTTTAAATGAAGAAACTAAACAACTAAAGCAGTTCTATCGTAGCAAGAAACCTGCCATTACAGGTTGATGACTGCATGGGTTGTCCTCAACCTTCCCGCGACCTCCAGACTGCAGTTGGTTAATGTTTATGAATATAAAATTATTCACTTTAGGAAATTCCTTTCATTGACATAATAGCGTCGCTGAACTCTTGGCCGTGATTTGCGATAATTTGTTAGGGATAATATATTTGAGTTTCCTGTCGTTTGATCGAGTTCACTAGCAGACATTTCTTATGTTCAGTTTAAGATCATAGTAATATGCCCATTGATTAATAATAATAATATTAATAGTAATAATAATAGCGGTTGCAGCGTTTAGTAGGCCGTAGGCCTGTCGCTGATTCTTAACATCGCATAACATTCACAGCATTTAGCGGTCTCGAACTCGCAACTCACTGCTGCCATCCTGCCGTGCTTAACCGCCCGGCCTCCTCGCCGATTCTGACCAGAAACTGGTGCACGGAGCTGGGATCGAACCCGCACCTCTCAACGCCAATTTTGGTACTTTGACTGTAACTACAGGGCCACCCTGCTAGTTGAACATGACTATAGAAGTGACTTCTGGAAGAAATTGTTAGCAGGCATCAAATAATTGCTTATAGCAACAGACTCGATGCAGTGAGCAAGAATGAGAGGCATGCGTAAGCAGTTGGTCGCGATTTGGACTTTAATAATTTTCACTAGCACAAAAAACAATACATCAAAAATGCTTTACTCAAACAAATAAAACGAGAAAAATAGGCAATGAACAAAAACAATATCGTCAATATATGCGGAACGAGTACATACGGCGAAGAATATCGAGAATATCAGGCATAGAATAACAAAAATATCAGAAGTAACGAGAATTACATGACTAACGAGAAGATAAAGCAATTAATAACGCAAGTAATTTGATAAGTAATAAAGAAAATAAATGGCAAAAAATAAAATAACGAAAATAATCAGCAATGAATATATATATTCAGAAATTTAGTAATAAAG